ACACCAACACATTTGTGAGAAGGAAGTTCTCACAGACCAGCAGGTCTGTAACCAGGAGAAGAACTCCAGTCTGGACCAGGAGGATCCAGCGCCTTCACATATTAAAGAAGAACAGGAGGAACTCCGCAGCAGTCAGGAGGGAGAGCAGCTTGAACTGAAGCAAGAGGCTGATATCTTCATGGTGACTCGATCTTATGAGGAAAGTGACCACAGTGAACCAGAGTCAAACAAAGAGCAGCTCATTTTTCACAGCTCTCCTGAAGCAGAGAGCCAAGATCATGAAGAAAAGCACGTGGACTCAGGATCAAGTAAAAATGCAGAGCTGAAGAAGAGGAAACGCAGTCAGAGCTTGGACAACACCACTGTGTCAGAGACTCAAAGTAAATCTGACAAAGTGAAAAAGTATGTACAATGTGAAATCTGTGGGAAAACCTTACATACATCTAATCTGACTGCCCATTTAAGAGTTCATACAGGTGAGAAACCACATTGTTGCACCACTTGTGGCAAAGGATTCATTCAGAAATCAAATTTGAAGCGTCATTTGAGAACACACACAGGTGAGAAGCCATTTACTTGTAGCACCTGTGGGAAAAGTTTCGGTCTGAAACCAGAGTTGCAACGCCATCTAAGAATTCACACAGGTGAAAAGCCACATTGTTGTAACACTTGTGGGAAAAGATTTACTGACCTGTCAGGGATCATAGCTCACAGGAGAGTCCACACAGGTGAGAAGCGGTATTCTTGTAGTACTTGTGGGAAAAGATTCATTCAGAAATCAGGAATGAAAACTCATGTAAGAAGTCACACAGGCGAGAAGCCGTATTCGTGTAGCACGTGTGGGAGAAAATTTAGTCATAAATCAACACTGCAAACTCACGTAAAACTTCACACGGGAGAGAAACCACATTCTTGTAGCATCTGTGGCAAAAGCTTTGTTCAAAAGCCACACTTAAGTAGGCACATGAAAATTCATACTACTTGAAGTTTCATGCTTAGATAAGATAGCTGTGAGTAGTAGTAGTCTGTTGGTCATAAAGCTCACACTGACTAGAAGTTTAATGACTGCAACACTTGAGTGAAGAAGTTGTGTAGAGCAGAGCAGTAAAGAGAAATGTTTTTTATTTATTCATACAAGGATGATACATTAACATTTCTGCATTTTAAAGCCTATCACAGCTGACGTAGGCTGATATGGGTATGCCCTGGACAGGTCAGCTCCTTAGCTAAAACATAGATGGTCAATTATTCACACCTATGGGCAATTTGGCAAGTAACTAACGCACCAGTTAATATAAAAAAGTATAAAATCAAACCCTTAAAAAAAAAACAGCAATAACAACAATATTCATAATAAAACAATCAGGTGTCACAATAAGATGCCTCTACAAAAACAGTTCCTGTCCACCACAAGACAGAAGGGCACATCACAGTCCTGATACTTCCGTGGTGTGTCACTCCTCTTGCTGTCCACCTCGAGACGGTGTATAAATAAGCGTTTGCTTTTAGTGCCTTTTTGGACAGCATCGTTGTCTGTGACAATGGGAACACGAATCTTCTCAGCTCTTCTGCTGTGAGGAATGCCTGTCTCCATGCTGACACACCAGCTCCGCCACAAATTCTTTGTGTGCCATGGGCAGCACCTGCATGGCACTGATCGCCTCATGGTCCCGTACCTGCAGCAGTCTTGCTGTGGGTGGACTAATACTGAATGAACTGGTCTAGTATGTCAGCCACTCTCACAGCCCAGTGTCCATCTGCATCCTCCACCTTTCTCTTCACCGTTTCCTCTGGACAAACAGGTGGATGGTAGTGCACACAGGCACCTCCCAAGTGGGTCATCTCTGATCCACCTCACAGATCCCAATTCCCATTTTTTTTGTTGAGAGTATTTTCCCTCCCTCCCAGGCATTCCCTGTGTAGATACTACATGCACCAAATCTTGTGCTGGTCAGATCCAGGAACATTTGGGACTGGTATAAAACAACTGTCCATGTAAACATGGCATCCTGTGCTAAGCAACAGCTGAAAAAGGTTCATCACCACATCATAAGACAGCCCATCATCACTTGCTTTTAAAGTCTTAACAGTGTATGTGATGAATCTAAAGGTTGATTCAGCCAATGTAAAACCTTTCATCCCTCATTTAGTTGGTTTGTCCGTCATGTATTGTGTCATGCCAGGCTTTGCTTTAGGTGCCACCATCCTTTCATCAACTGCCAGTTCCCTCCTCGGGTGTTAATAAGCTGGCTGCCACAGAGGATTTCGTAATTTTTTACATCCTACTCAGGATCAGTGAGGTGGATGTTCCAAAATATGGCTCTGAACCTGTCTCTTGTCATTATGTCATTGATGGAAGGGGCACAGACAAGGCATGATTGTGTCTCCAGTAGTCTTAGTCTTGGCAGCGATATGTAAATCCAGAGACCAAAAAGCTGATAGAAATCTTCTGTTTCTAAATCAGTCCATTTGTATTCTTTGCCTAAATCCGGATTTTTGTCAGTGGCGAAAAACAATAAAAACGGGTCTTTTAGACTACAGCATTCTCTCAATTGTCACAGGAGTTACGTCCCGGGACCCCCGCTATAGGGGAAAAGTAGGAAATTGAGTCTTTATAGCAAAAATAATTAGAATTATAATCTAAAAAAAAAAAAAAAACCTTTTCCCGGTTTTTGTTGGCTTAAGGTGGTTTTTTTTTTTTTTTTTAGAATAATTATTGTATATTCAAAAATGTATTAATTATTTATAATATGCAATAATTATTATTGTTGATTAATTATTATGTTTTAATTAATTTATCAGGTTTCTGCGCCCTCTTTACAGAGGCCCTCGTTCTCTCCAAAAATTTGATTTGAGTAAGAGTACAAACTCATTCTGATTTAAAAGCCAAGGAATAAAAGTGGGTTTTTAGACGAGCTTTGAAAGTGTCCAATGTTGGGGAGGTCCTGATGTGGTGAATTGTTCAACCAATACTTTGGGGTTTTTTTGCCCCCGATCGCAAGGGCATGCGCTGTGCTTAGAAAACCCTTCCTATCAACACAATTTTAAAACTGGTAGTTTTTAGTCTTCACTGTCAACTCAAATTGAGACAGATTCAGTGAGACTGCATCTTGCTACTTCATCATTTTAATTCCCCGAGCTCATTTGGGGGCACTGGTGTGTCTGTCGACTAAAGACATAACTTTACCTTTGCATTTAAAATTTAGTGACTAATATTTTTATTTTTCAGTGGCAAAGTATTCCAAATCTGTGGGTCTTTAACTCAGAGGACAGACCAAATGTGTCTACAGTTTGGTAACCTACAATTATTAATAACTCTCCTTGTGTTTACACCTTTTCTGCTGAATTTCCAAATCATGTAACTGATTTAAGGCCAAGGCCATTTACACATCTAAAGTACAGGTTTAATAAGGAAAATGTATTTAAAAAAACATATTATATTATAACATATAATATCCTTCCTAAATTTTACGGTAATGCCACTGTACTGGCTGATTTGGTTGCCACAGTATGAAAGATATGGAAAAAGAATCATAGCATTAAATTTAACTGGGCAGCCTTTACAGGCAGATGATAATTGTACAAGTCAAACAGTTCAATCTTTGTACAATCTCTCGTTTCGGGCATTTTTCTAAAATGGGCTTCAAATTATAATTGATGAGTCCGTATTACTTCCCAGCATGTTAATTAATTAACATGTATTTTTTTTCTGATCAATAATCAATAATTATGGAAAAACTATCACATAATTGTCTTATGATTGATTGAGAAACACGTTGACAGTTTTTAATTTTTTTAATTGTTCAAAGACAGGAAATTATTTTGGAGTCACTGTGAGACACGAATCATGTGCCTGTTCAGTAAATCTTCAACCTTTTGAGTTTTTGCTGTTGCGTACGTGACTACATCATCAGGATACATTTAGTACTCTGCTTCTTTGTGAGTGTCTGGGTTATCTATATAGGTAAAAGAGTAGTGTCCTAAAATTGAACCTTGTGGGATTCACATTTTGTTTTTAAAGGATAATAGCAAACAATCAACTTGAACGCTGCTGTTAAGAATGCAGATATGACTTAAACCAGTTATATCCTCTCAGTATTGTTTATTCAGTTTATATTATTTATTTTATTATTGTATCAGGAAAATCCTGATCCTAGATTTGGTGAAGGTTAAAGTTGTTTTGCTCTGATGGTTCATTGTTTAGTTCTGTTGTTTATTAGTGTTTGTTGTCTTAAAGTTTAAATAAAGACTTGATTCAAACATCTTTTGAGTATTTTTTTTCTGAGATGAAACCTGCACTTGGACTAGAACAGGGGTGTCAAGTTCCAGTCCTCGAGGGCTGGGTTGCAGCAAGGGACAGATATAAGTTTCATGACACTGGCTTGTGCTTTGAGGTGCATGGTGGATATAGGCATATCATATGGAGCTGCTATGAGCTGAAATGGTTTTTGCCCCCTTGCTGTTTTTTTTTTTTTTTTTTTTTTTTTTCATTTTGTCACACTTAAATAGTAACATTATAGTAACAAAACACTAGTAAACGCTAAATGCAGTTTCTAAATGAATGTGTTTATTATTGCTGCTTGACCCCACCCACCATTATAACATACATTAACCTTGGTGTACCACATCTTTGGAAAGTTTAGTTCTATTTCTGTAGCTGCATCCAGGCCTGAATACTGCCACACTTGTTCTTAATCAAGAAATCACTTAAATAGGACCTGCTTGACAAAGACAAGTAGACCATGAGATTCTTAAAAGCCAC